GCTTCCGCTTCGTCCTCCCTCGAACCCCCGGCTCTATCAAGTGGCCAAAGGGCGAAGCGAAGTGCTTCCCGTTGAGTCGGTCCCTCCCCTTAGCTCCCTTGCGGTCCGGACTGACGATACGGCGTTTCGGTTCGCGTTACGTTCACCCCCTCAGGTTCCATGCGGAACCTCGGACGTAACAAGGGTAATGATTTGGTAGAACAAATTTTAATAATTATAAATATAGATAATATAAGAAGGAGTATAGATAAAAGGGTAATATTATTAAAAGGATACAAATAGATTTTAGTGATATTTGAAAATATTTTTTCATTAATTAATGAATTTAAGGGGGTATTAGTAATATTTGAGTTTATGAAGGATAAATAAAAGGAATAGTCAGTTTTAGAATATATGGGATGGGGAGGGATTTATGATATGGGAGTGAGACTTTTGTGTAGGTATATTAGTAGAATTATATTCAATGAAAAAGTTAAAATAACAGGGATATTAGTGGTATAGGAAGATTTGGTATTTGAGGTTAGGTTCATAAAGTATAAAAAAATAATAAGTAGGCCTCTGATTAAGGTTAAGAAGATAATAATTGAATATATGTAGGTCTTTGATCAGAAAGATATGATAGTGAAACTTAGTAAAGAGTAAATTATTATTAAAATAATTAGAGAGTTAAGAGGGAGGTAATTAAAAAGAATAGTGAAAATAATAAAATATATTAATGAGATAATAATATAGAAGATTATATTAAATAATTTAGTCATAATAAAGATTAATTTGTTATTTAATTTAGTAGGTGGTAGTAGGATGATTATTTATTATAATATTAATAGAAAATTTAGTTTTAAGTGGTTAAAGATTTGATAGTAGAGTTATAAAATGGGGGTAAAAGGGGAAGGCGAAAAATAGTTTAATGTATTATAAGAATATTAATTTTGGAGATTAGAGGCATATTTAAAATATTTTTTTGATTGTAAAAGTATTAATTTAAAATATTTTTTTGATTATAAAGATTATTATGTTTTAATAAATTTTTATTATATATATGTCTTTAATTTACAAAATTAATATTTTAAAATATACTATAAAACATATTTTTTTATATATTATAATTTATATGCAAATTTTTATAGTATTTTTGATATTAATAATTTTAATGTATAAATATATGTTAGTTATATTATTAACGATGGAGATATTGGTAGTAAATATATCAATAATTACTTATATTGTTATAATAGAAGTTAGGATAGAATTTTATTTAATTTATTATTTAATTTTTAGTGTTTGTGAGAGAGTTTTAGGTCTAAGGGTATTAGTAATAGTTGTCTGATTTAGAGGAAATGATTTATATTATGTATTTAATTTTAGAAAATTTAAATAATTAAATAATTTTTTTTTAGGGGAGGAGGGAAATAAAGGTAAGGAATATGATAAAATTTATTAGGATAATTATGTTTATAAATTTTATAATTATTTTGGGTAATAAAATGTTAATATTTTATTATAATTTGTGTTATTTAGTTAGAATATTTATAATTTTTGTTTATATAAGGGTAAGAAATGAATGATTTAATATTAGGATGATAGTGGGATGTAATAATTATTCTATAATATTAGTAATTTTAAGAGTTTGAGTAATAGGGTCGATAATTATGTCTTTTGAAGAGTATAATAAATTAAAGTTAATAATTTTTATTAATATGTTAGTAGTTTTAGTAATATTTTTTTTATTTTATGATTTAATATTATTTTATTTAATATTTGAGATTAGATTTGTGCCTACTTTTTTTTAAATTATTTGTTACGTCCGGTGGACTCCACGATTTTTTCGTTTCGCGACCGTTCAATCAACGAAGTAAGATATGAACAAATCCAAGTGATAACACAAATCCGAGA